AAAAAAAAAAAAAAAAAACCTATAAATAATAGCTCTGATGTATACCTTACATACCATAAAATCACATATTTTAAGTACACAGTTTGATGAGCATTACTAAATTTATAATTGTGAAATGATGATCAAAATCCAGTAAATTCCTGGTACCCATTTGTAGTTAACGCCTATTCTTAACTTCAAACAATTAGCTTTTTGTATATTCCATTTCATAAACTGAATCTTGCAATATCTAATTTTTCTATCTGGCTTCTTTCACTTAGCACAATATTCTCAAGAGTCACATCTATTGTTCACGTATTAGTTCATTCTTGTTTATTTCAGAATAGTATTTCATTTTATGGAGACAGCACATCTTTTTTAATGAATATAGCACATCATTTTAAATCTACTTATTAGTTGAACACTGATTGTTTCTTACTGTTTTATGTAACACTGCTATGAGCATTTATACCAAGTCTTGAGTAGATACCTATAAATAGAATTGCTGATTATATAGCAAACATATGTTTAACTTCTTAAGAAACCACAATTTCCTATCTGCAACATTTGAGCATTCTAGTGGTTCTAAATCTTCAAGAGTTCATACTTTTCAGTCTTCTACATTTTAGCATTCTAGCACATTTGATATATCTCACTATGGTATTAATTTGTATTTCCCTAATGACTAATAAGGTTGTCTATCTCTTCAATATGCACATTTACATTTGCATATCTTCTTTGCTGAAGTGTCTGTTCATCTTTTCATTATCAAGTGTGAATCATTTACTTATTCTGAAGCAAGTCCTTTATTTGATGCCCATTTTTCTTGGGCTATGACTTACCTGGTTTTCTTCTTTTTTTAAAGTTTCTTTTGAAGAGCAAAATACTTCCATTTAATGAAGGTCAATTTATCAGTATTTTTTGCTTTACACTTTTTGTGTTTATTTTAGAAGTCTTCCCTAGCCCAATATCATGTAAATTTTCTTTTGGATCTGTGAATTCTTTTCTGTAAGTTTATGGCTTAATTCTTACATTTAAGACCATGATCACTTCAAATAACATGAGGTGATGAGTTCATTATTTTGTATATGGATATCCAATTGTTCCAGTACCCTCTGTTTAAAAGACTTTTTTTTTTTTTTACCAGTTTAATTTGGCCCCTTTGTTAAGAACTCATTACCAGTTAATTGTATGCCTAAGGACCTACTTCTAAGACTTTTTTTAATACATGGAATTACAGAAGAATGACTCTTATATCTCAGTACATACAAAAATCAACATAAAGTGGATAAGAAGACCCAAATGTTAAGACCTGGAACTCTAAAACTACTAGAAGATAACACAGGATAAATACTTTGAGACGTTAGTAAGGACAAAGACTTTTTGGATAGGAGCCACAAATCAGAGTGAATAGTAAAAGTAGATAAATGGAATTATATGAAAATAAGAGAATTCTGAACAGTAAAGGAAACAACCAAGAGTGAAGAATAAGCTTCAGAGAGGTAGAAAATATTTGTGAACTATTCATTTGAAAAGGTATTTGTATCCAGAATTTACAAGAAACTTAAATAGGTCAACAGCAAATAAGCAATCTGATTTTAAAAACAAATGACATTAGATGCATTTCTCCAAAGATATAAAATTAGCCAACATACAAAAAATGTTCAACATCACTAATTATAAGAAAACTATAAATCAAAAGCACAGTGAGACATGCCACCTCACTCCAGTTAGAACGACTACCATCAAGAGACAAAACAAAATATTCTGTGGAGGATGTGGAGAAACAGAAAAACTCATACACTCTGGGAATGGGAAATGTAACCAATATACCCACTATGGAAAAATATGGAGATTTCTCAAAAATCCCCAAATAGAACTCCCATATGATTCAGTTATACCATTATGAGATAGGACTGCAAACCAATATACACACTATGAAAAAATATGGAGGTTTCTCAAAAATCCCCAACTCCTATATAATCCAGTTATAGCATTACTGGAACAGGTCCAAAGGAAAGAAAATTAGTATGTAGAAGAAACATCTGAACTCCTACGTTTATTGAAGCATTATTCACAACAGCCAAGATACAGAATCAAGCCAACTGTTCAATGAAAGATAAAGAAAATGTGGTATACACACATACACAATGGAATAATAATCACATATACAATGGAATAATAATCACTTAATAAAAAGAATAAAATCCTGTCATCTAGGACAATTTGGATGAGCCTAAGGGCATTACAGTATATTCAGTAAAATAACCCAAGCAGGGCAGACAAATACCGAATGTTCTCATACCCCACTGTGATAAACAATTTTCCCAGTATTTCCAAGTATCTACATTATTTCTTGTTCTACCTATCTGTATACTTACCTTTATGCCAATACCACACTGTGGTTACCAAAATTTTACAGTGAGTCAAATGCTGTAAGTCTTCCAACTTTATTCTTTTCCAAAAATTTCTTACCTACTTTAGAATTTTTACATTTCCATATAAATTTTAGAATCAGTGTGCCTATTTCTACAAAAGCGCTGCTGGGATGAATGTACTTATAAGAATTCATAAAGGCTTTTAGGGACATCACTATAAGTATCACAATATTGTGAATACTACCTTCAGCTATATAACTTTGGGCAACCTCCAAACCGGGTTTCTTACATATAAAGTGACTCAGTTCACTTTATAATCAATCTACCCACTTACTCAAACACAATAAGCAATTTTTATTTTAATTCTAAAATTCAATGTTTCAATAAGAGTATAATATCATTCTACAGGAGTATAAATGTACTTCTCAAATTGTAGATGAACTGCGTTATCAGTTAACAGAAAACTTCATTCATTCAGTAACAACAAAATACAGTATAGCATAGCTAGAAGAGTGTTAAACTGACTCTTACCTTATTTAGTAAAGCAACCTGGAACCCAGTATATTCCTTCATATTAAGGTCTAGAAGTCTGTGAGGAATATCCTCTGAAATTCCCTGGAGCAGTTGTTGAAAATCTTTCCTATACGCCATTGATAAGCCATGTGCTCGGCTTCGAACTTTAATGCCAGTTTCTTGTACTACTTTTTTGCCTACAGATCCTATGACTCGATCAGATTCTATTTTGGCCTAAAAACAAATAAGAGTTGCCTTGTTATAATCTAAGTTGAAAAATCATGAAGTAAAAAGTTACGATCAACTATAAATTATATTTATACAGTAAGATATTAAAATCTTAAGCATAGTTTTTGTTGAATACTAGATACAGTTTAAAAAATAGTACCTTATAATGTTTTTGTTCGTTTGTTCTTTTTTTTGTTGGTTTTTTTTTTTTTTTTCTGGTACTAGGAATCAAACTCACAACCTTGTGCTTGCCAAGCAGGCGCTGTGCCGCTGAGCTAAATCCCCAGCCCCGGTATCTTATAACTTTAAATCATTAAAACTCTAAACTCTTAGAGCAATACAAACAAATGCAACTTTATTTTATTTATTAATATCCATTACACTTAAACCAGGAAGTGTAAATGCTTTATAAGTGAAATTGTATATTCCTAATTCAAAGGTGATACAAAATTAGGAAAAAAAAACTTTATCAATATTTGCTCAAAAACAGTTAACACATAACCAAACAGTCACAGATATGGCAAATAATGATACAACTTTTCACTGCAGAGTAAACAGTAATATTTTGATTCCTTCTAAACTGCATTCTGATTAGCAGGAAAGGTAAGTTATCAGACATATTAGAAAAAGTATATACTTTTAAGCAAACATACTACCTATTAATGTGTTTTATGGCCAAAATGACAAAATTTGGCATTTTTATAAAAACGTAAAAAGAAATTCCATTTTGAAAGAAAAATCTTCAGGTTTTAAAACATAAAGCAAAAAAATCTTTTTTTCTAAGAAAAACAACAAATTTCTCAAAGGAAAATACAAGTAATGACTATATATACATGAAGTCCGGGACCATATTAATGAAGTCATTTTCATAAATTAGTAATAAAAATTTTTCAATTTACACAGCAAGCTTGACTAGAGAAAAGTGGGTTAATATATAGAATATAACAGGTTAATATAATGGAATGGCATTGCAACCATCAAGAACTGGCTTTGAGCCTATTAACTATCTTATCTAAAACTATTCAAACACTTAAAGGCCCACTTATATTTTCTGACATTACCTGTTGACTCAATTTTTTGAGGTATGAAATGACACTATAACTGAGTCCATACTCCATACTATCTGCTATTAAGTTAGGTGCTCCCATCATTCTAACAGCTTTCTTCAAGGGCTATAGAAAAAAAAAGAAGAAAAAGTATTCAACATTAACTTCATTAAAAAAATTTATGGGTCTATGTGGTTTGTTTCAAAACTTCCAACCAAAAAAATTTTTTTCTTGAAAAAACAAGTAATACAGCCATATTTGTATTTCAGTAAAATGTTTATCAGTGGTATGAAAGCATTCTGATAAAAGAAGAATAAGATGCCATGAAATTAATTCCCAACACTCAGAAACTAAAGTCCTGTATTGCTTGTTACCATTAGGAGATAGCTGTTGAGAAGAACACAGACAGGAGGCAGATTGTACAGGAAGAGCTGATAAACCTAAGTTTCAAATGAAAAGGACACCAGGAAAGTACATTTCTGCTTTAGTTAACTGGTTGGATTGTGGCTCAGTTCTCACTAGGCTACATGATCCTGGACCAGTTCTAAAAACTTCTTTGTCCTTAGTTTCTTACATGTAAATGAGGGATAATAGAAGGACAGGTCCTTTTAGGGTTGTCATGGGGTTAACATGAGTCAATACATGTGAACCATTTATAGCATCTGGCAAACAGTAAGCATTTAATGCATGTTAATCATTAAAAAACAGTATTATTTATAATGGATATGGTATGGTGAAAAAGCTTCCAATTGTAACAACAGACTGAGAACCACTCTGTGCAATTAAAAAGTGTAATAATCAGTAGTAGAAACATCTAGTAAATGTGAATGGGACACAGCTAGAAAAACATAACCACTGGTGTATTAGAAGGTGTATAAACATTGATGTCAACATGGAATCAAGTCTCTGCTCTGATTTAATACCCATGCAGTTTTGGTTACATACTAGGAGTTGCTATGAAAACTAAATGAGTTTATACACATACCAGTTCCTACTCAAGGTGTTCTTCCTGTTTGCTATATTTACAACTTACTTAAAACTATCTCTTATATAAAATATTAGGACTTTAAAGCTCAAGAAATTAATCTCTAACCAGGCATGGAAGCCAGGCATTCCTATAATCCCAGCACTCTGAGAGGCTGACCTGGTAACTTACCAAAAATGTCTCAAAAAAAAAGGGGGGGGGGGTGCCAGGGATGTAGCTCAGTGCAGAGACCCTAGATTCATTCCCTAGTACTCACCCCTACCCTTCATCCCACTCCAACTGACAAAAAAAAAAAGAAAAAAAAAAAACAGAAGAAAGGAGTGAGCGGCAGGACAGATCATTTAACTATATACTAGGGAGCATTCAGAAAGATTAGTTACCATCAAGTGGTGTAATATTCCTGCATTAAAAGCAGGAGGAGGGGCCAAGAATATAGCTCAGCAGTACAGCACTTGCTGAGTACACACAAGACCCTTATGTCCTTCCCAGCACCTCCATGAAAAAAGCAGAACTAATATTTAAAAATAGTTTTAATGTGTTCTCTGGGAACACACACTTATTCATCTATTTTTTTCCGGAGATTTGGAAAACAATGCAACAAAAATAATTTTTCAACGTTTATGAGAAATAATCATAAAACTGCAACTCAAACCAGTAATGTAAGAATCGAGAGCCTAAATTCTAAAGCCAGAATTTCAGTACCTCATCTCCCCATGTATTAAGTGTGTACATTTAGGCAAATAAATTGCTTAACCTTTCGTGGCTTAGTTTCCTCATCTGAAATAACAACAATAATCATTTCTTCCTCACAGAGTGACTGTATGAATTAAGTTACTTTAACATACTTCAGGTGCTTAGGATATAAATATTCTCATGATCATCATTATTCTTTAAATCACTGAAACATTATTACTATTACATCTATATCAGTCATCTGTACACTTAATTTTCATGGATTTAATCTACAACAGCAATAAATAAAAGTTGAGACTATAATAATTTATAATAAGCTTAATATAAAATTTTATAACAAGTTCCATTTTAACAATAGTCTTACCCCAAGATAGTAGGGAGGCATTGTCTTCAAATAACTTTCAAACGACTGTCTCCATTTTAATGTTGGTTTTGCTTTATGCACTTTAAACAAGTCATCTAGAAATATATGTCATGAACAAACCTATCATCATACATTGTTTTCACACTTAAAAATCATATCAGTTTCCTCTTTGCAATCTGCTTTGTTATTTGCAAGACAGTAATATCAGACATTAAGTTTTTAACAAAATTAAAAGCAGCAAAATTTCTAGTTCTAGTGTTTTGATTTATGATACTGTTTTAAAAATTGAAAGGTACAACTTATGATCTAAATATTGTATCTAATAATAAAATAAAATCAGAAAATACACAAGGAAAAAAATCTCTGCCCTGTCTAGAACTAGAGATGGATTCAAGGAAAGAATAACCACGAATATTTTCTATTAAAACATACCTACTAATACACAGGATAGTTAACATACTTGTTCTACTGTCTTCTATTTCTTTGCTGAAATAAACTGTCAATGAGTCCTTGATTGATCAATATTGCATGTCTCTATCTGTTTTCATGAGAAACCACTTTGAAGATATCAATATGTAATACAACAAGCATTGTTAATTTCCTACCACTTTGTTTGTAACTCTGTATTGTCTGTGCTGTTCTTTTGCTATTTTGTAAAAGGTTGTCTGTTAATGTTTTCCTTTTATTTTTAAAATAAAAAAAATAAAAACATACCTACTAATGTTTTGACTATAACTGTAAAATCTGATGGCTTTCATGGAGGGAAAGAAGTTTTCTCTAACACTACTTCTCAAAAAATGACAGCCAGATGATACTTAGAAACTAACTTCAGGCTATCTCATAATAAGGTAGAACACATTCTTTTCCTAAAATATTTGCCAAATGAAAACTAAAGTTAGACAAATTCTCTAAAAATGCACTCAAAGTCTGTGAACATATAATGCCTTACACAAACAGAAACTAATTCTAAATACGTAAGAAATCTTACTTGCAGAAAAATTAGAATATTTAATAATTCAAGTGTAACACTTTTTTATTAGTCTATAAAATAAAAAGTAATTCAACACTTTCAATTTATCACAAACGTCATTAAAAATTTCCTGAAAAAGGTTTAAAATTTGAAATATTTTTCACTAATTTTCAGAAGATAAGAAAAACTACAAAAGAATATTTCCCAAGTTTGTCCTTAGGGGAATTTTTATATATGCCACCCAATAGAGAAGAAGACAAAAACAGCTTACCTAAGAGGGGAAGAAGGACTGGATAATTGTAAGGCATCACAAATAGGTTGACGCAGTTGAGTGCTGTACTGGCTTTCAAGTAACCAAAAGGATGACCAAGTTCACTATATTTTGCACTATTGCTCACATACACCTGGTTAAAAACAAATGGTTCAAATTTCGTATTTAATAATCTTTAAAGAACATCATGCAAACCATTGACTGAATTTAGTTTTAAGAAGCAGCGCATTCAATATTTCAAGGGGTGAAGCTAATTTAGGATTCAACCCAGGACGTAGGCATGGTAGCCAAGTGTTCTACCCCTGAGCATGTCCATCTCTAGCCCTTACTCAAATTTTTTTCAGGCAGCACATTTTAGCTCACCTGCCAACAAGTTTGAGGAGATTTCCTTTCCAGGATAAACTGAGTCAGCGGTGAAGGTTCCAATTCATATTTGTCAAAAGGCAATTTGTCAATAACCATTGGTTCACAATCTGTACAGGAAAACTTCACTACAGGATGAGATGTACGAGGTGGCTGGAGGGGAAAGTTGTATTATTACTATTTACACAAAACATCACAAACAAACTCACTTTAAATATCCTTCCCTATCAAAACTTACTCAATTCGTCAGTTTGCTAGTTTGCTTTACTAATAAAAGTTACTCTTCTAACTGAAATCCTATCCTATCCTAATCCTAACTGAAAACCATTTGCAACAGACCACAAGAGCAATAGATGATGCCTCCTATGACACTGATTTGGATTTCTTTCCATTAAGATTTAACAAGTACCATATTTACTGCTCTGGAATTTAAATACAATAGAAAAATAACCAACAAGACAGCAAGCAGTCTATATAAATCTGGGTGGTAAGAGCTAAAATGAGCTCCAAAAAGTAAAATTACCAAAGAAATCAAAAACTTCTCTATAAGGCCAGACTAACAATTATAATAGGTCCAAATCAGAGAAAAGGAATACACAAGATACCTCAATGAAATCTATAAAACTTTGATTTCATATATTACATCATTAAATTCCTAATGAGTAAAGACTTTTATTAATAGATCTACATTTACAAATGTCATATAAACTCTAAATAAAATTAGTCTGAAAACCTGACATACAAAAGCAACTAAGAACTTAACATAGCACTCTGAAATCTGTATAATTCCTGTAAATGAATCACACCTTTTACTGACAATACTACTTAACAACTAACATGAAAGGCAGCTAAATGGTTACACTATTACATACACACTGTCTCTGTTGTACTTACTAGTGTTGGAGAATTCTGATCTGGCCAAAAAGATTCTGGAACAGGCCAATGACCTATAGGAACTCCGGTTTTAGGATTTGGTCTGACATATATGAGTTTGTGACAGCTATGCCAAGGCTGGGATCCAAAAGGCCTTGATATATCTGGCTGTCCATCTACAGCAAAGAAATTCAAGAAAACATATAGCATTGGAGGAAAAAAAAAGTTAAATTATATCCATTAGTCCTTAACTTAATAAAAATATCCTAATACAGTATTTGCTAATTTCTGTATTTTGCTTTTTCTTAAACTGCTAAATACTATCATGCTTAACATTCAGACTAGTTGTAAATCACTAGATAGTAAATTATAAATTCCATCTATGAATTCACCAACAGAAACAGTCCCACAGCATCTTTTGTTTGCCCAATTAGAACATGCAAAATATATCTTTTGGTAAATGTCTGAAAATGTTCCCCATCCCCAGATAATAAGGGCAAGCAACCAATCTGCTTGTCCTTATTATCTTCCCCATTGTATCATGTGTCAAAAACAGTGCCAGACACACAGTAAATACTATTTACATACTATTCCTTCAAAATCATTTTAACTAAAACCTCATATCAAAAACAAACCACTTAAAATGCAAATCTATATTCAAAGTGCCTGCCTTTAATCTAAAAAGAAAGTAGCAAAATAGTAACTTCAGCAATTCAGTAAACATTTACCAATGCCTAACCAGTAATTATTATTTAAAAACAAATACATGCTAACAATGATTTTTTAAACCAGACACAATGATATAATTTAATCTTATCATCTTCTGCTCCTTCCCCCTAATACCCTATGAATGTTATTCATTCTTTCATTTCTGACTTTTCTCCCACTCTAGTGGATCACCTCTGCCAAGTATCTCCAATAACTTTCTGATTTCTTCCAGAGTACAATAGCTGAGAATTAAGCTAGGTTGGGCTCAGCTAAAGTTAAAAGAATCAAGTTTAATGGCAAAGGTTAGTTCCTCATTTTTGGAGCCATACAAACCTTTGGGTTCTGATCACTTTTATTCATCTGGATGAAAATAGCTAAGAAATTATATAAACCCCTAGGGTTGAATACTGAGAATTAAGGGACATGGAAAAAACAAATATACTAGACAGAGTAATGGTAGAATACTGACAAGGAAACATGAATTTGTTTATCCATAAATGGGTAAAAAGGTGTTTGGCTATAATTACAATTTTAGGCTATAAATAACCATTAAAATAAAAAGGTGATGGTACCAAATCACCATCAGATTTCCTTAACTTCCCTATTTAATCTTCCCTTCTTTACTAATAATAGTTTTGTCATACTGATAATCTGGCCTTGTTCATTTTAAAGTCAGCTTAGAGTAATTTTTCAGTTCTAGTAGAGTATAGAATATACACAAGAAAAATGCAGTAATACCTTCTACAGGGGCAGGATCTGGTCCTGCTTTTTCAAAGTTTATTACCACCCCACTTTGTACTTTCTGCACCAAGGATTCCAGACACTGATTAAGCATTCTTGAAGAACATACAGAGTATGAGCGGCCTAAGAGAAAAATAAAGTAATTTAGTTAGTTATAAGAATTGCTACCTTTACCAAGAACTATGGTGGGGTTTCTGGCAACATTAATTCAAAGAAATTCAATGATAAAGGTTGACTTATTTCATAATCTTTAGGAAGAATGAACAAAAATCATTCCTTTTAACCAACCAATCAACAATCCAATTTTAATAAGCACATATAAATTTTTTCTTCCCATTAAAGGTAACTCTTGATCTGAATAAGCCACAATGGAAAAACAAAATCACTAGCAATTCTCCTAAATCTTATTCCTATCTAACAAAATATCCCTAAGACTTACACTAAGAAGCACAAAGCAGTACTCACAATTACTGGTCTGCTAAGAGTTAACACATAACACAGATGATAGCACATACTTTTGTGAATTTCCTTTGGCTTATATACACTTGAGAATTACCTATGTTAAATTAATTCACCTTTTGTATATTTTAGTTTATAACACTTTAAGTTCAAAAGTATTAAATTCTAGCACTTCAAAAAGTATTAGGGATGGGGATGTGCTCAATGGCAGAGTGCTTTATGCAAAAGGCCTTGGATTGGATCCCAGCATGCTCAAAGAAAAACAAACAAAAATACAAACACCAAACATCTTGCAGTGTTATCTGTGATAAGCCCAATAAAAGTTCTCTCATACAAATTCAACCAATTGCTTCAGAACACGAGCTATACAATATTATATGACGTATCAAGTTACCCATATCAAGTTATACATAATGTGATATATAAAGGCTATTCAGAAAAGAAAACATTAGGCAAAAGTAATCCAAATCCTCAGTCAATTTAGAAAAACTATTATACTACAAATCACTTACCTGTATATAATAATATTGATTATAATCTTTAAAAATACCTATCAAGTACCTGTGCAACTGACACTGTTCTAATCATCTTATCATGTTAATTTATTTAATCGTAGCAACAACTGTTTGGGTTATTTTCACTATTTGACAAATGAGAAAACCAAGGCAGAGAGGTCAACTAATTTATCTAAATTAGTAGTACAGTGATATAGCCAAGATTCAAACTAGGGTATTATAATAGGTATTAGAAAGTTTAAGAATATTTGTACCTGGAAACTACATGTTAATTTGGTATCAATATTTAAAATAGCTATAATCATGATTATTTGAGGTAGTGAATTTAATTTTTTCTAAATCAATTTAAGCATATACAAAAAAAATAGAGAAAAAGTCTGACCATCTTTATACACAAAACATTTAGAAGACTATAAAATTATTTTATATCACAAAATTTAAGTGTCTTTACCAGATGTCATTAAAAAACAAAAAAACCTTACCTGTGGTAATTCTCTACTACCCTAAGTTGTGCCATCAATTAGAAAAATCTAAGTGACAGTTATGATCTTTTTTTTTGAGACCAGAGTCTTGCTATATGTTGTTGAGGCAAGGCTCAAACACTTAATTCTCTAATCTCAACCTCCCAAATAGCTGGGGTGTGTAGACCATAGAACCCAACTCGGTTACAAGCTTAAGACAAATAAAATTACTAAACGAAGATGTTTTATAAAAAAGAAAAATGAATAAACCCACACCATCTGGCCAATAAAAAAATCCATTAATTATCTTGAAAGTTAAAGGGAAATAGCAAATTTTACTCTCTTTACAAAATGAGCCTATATCCTGCATGATGTTCTTCTTATTCATACTATGTCAGAACTCATCCCTTGGAATTATATGATACTTTGTGCTAAAGCATAAAGTTTAGGGATTCACTAATAACAATTGTGAAAAACATGTATTGGCACACACCTTTAAGTCAAGAAGTTAGCTCACTTTTGGTTATGCAGAGTCCAGACCAAAAAAAAAAAAAGGTCAAACTGAATATAGTAAATTTGAGGTCAATATGAATATCTTAGTAAAATGAAGAAACAAAAGAACATTTCTAAGTTAGGCAACAGTCCTCAGGACTAAGGAAGTTAAATGCATTTAATGTAGAAAAATCTGCAAGTAATTTTTATAAAATCCCTTTATCTTTGATATTTCCACCAACATGTCTATTAGATATTTTAAAATTTGCTGTCATCCCTGTACCTTCTTCAAACTTGCTCTCCACAGTGTACCCATCTGCCATTGAGCACATCCCCATCCCTAGTATTTTTTGAATTGCTAAAATTTAATACTTTAGAACTTAAAGTGTTATAGATTAACAGTCATTCATTTCTATTGGTTTAAGCCACATGAATCATCTGGAAATCACTTAATTTCTTCTTTCCTCATTGCCCTATCCTTGATTTTCCTTTACACCAGACAATCCCTTACCACAGTCAAATCTAGCACTCGCAAAGTACTATCTCATCTCTTACTACTCTCACTGCTTCTATTCTTGCTACTCTATAATTTCATCTAAAAGCTGAAGTGACTTTTCAGAAACAGAAATGAGACTGTCACTCTTTAGCTTTTAAAAAAGCTCTCCAAAAAAACAAATAAATAAAAATTAAAATTAAAAAAAAAAAAAGCTCTCCAATAACTGCCCATAATACTTGGGAAATTTTTTTAAAATTTATTATTGTCTAAAAGGTTAGTCAATGTTTAGCACTTGTCTACTTCTCCAAACCTGTGATTTTCTACTCCTCTCCCTGTAAGCTCAAGCCACACTGGCCTTCTTGTTGCTCCCAAATAAATATAGCATATCACTTCCTTCACTATTTCCTTTTTCTAGATCTTCCTGTGGTTAACTCCATTTTTCAGATCTCTGTTCAAATATTAACTCCTCAGATGGAAACTTACCTAAAAACACTCATTCTCAGCCACCAATTACACTCTACTTTCTAAACCTAATTTTTTCCTATTTGTAGTAAGTAGCACTCCCTAAAATATTTATTAATTTAATGATTATTATCTGTCACCCAATCCAAAGATACAAGCTTTCTATCCCCAGCATCTAGAACAGTTACTTGGCAAAGAATAGACACCTAATTACTTGGTAATGAAAAGAAAAAGGCTTACAATGATTATTGTGCAATTTGTTAAAAATAGTATACATAAAAATACAGTATCTTTGATTTTAATAATACGGAGGAATTTCTTTCCAATTTTTCTTTCATGAACACAAGTTATTCTATAAAGGAAAAGAATTAACATATATACTCATATCTCCTAGCACTAAGCTAAAAAATATGTACAGGAATTGTTAGTAACGATTACATATATGTATAGTACAATACCAATGAATATTAGCTTTTTTGTTCTTGATATTTTTCTGATGTTTTACCTCTAAAACTTTATTCAGTGAAAATTCTTTCTTTCAGATTAAAAAGAAAGAAAAGATATTATTCAGATATATGAAAAGGTGAGTGGCATTTGCGTAGCTTCCCATTATTGCTGACAAGAGCATAAAAAGGGTCAAATAAACTACTACATCAGGAAGGATCCAGAAGTATATTTAGGGAAAACGTCCTAATTTCTTGACTAAGATTTCTGGGTCAATGAAAGATATTACCAAGGGTGACTTCGGAATCTTCTCCTCTGGAGATGTTCCTTTCAAAGAATAAACAAAATAACTTTAGTACATTACTGCCCAAAGGCAAAGATATCAACTACTACATGATTCTCATGGTTCTTTTCACATCCTTTCTGACTGTACCACTCACTTCATTTCACACTCTGAATATTCCTGGCAGACAAAAGTTATAGCACATATAGTTCCATAACTTCATCATAATTCTAAATTCAAACAAAGTAACTGATAGTAAAAAATTTCCAATGTGAAGATGTCTAAATTATAGCCTCAAAGTCCTTTGCAATTTGTTAAGTAAAAAAATAACCCCAAATTTTAAAAAAATCAGGATTTTTAAGTAGGGCAGTTCAAAGTTGAAAAATATGATTTTATTAATATAAATGTGGATCTTCCCATAGAAACCATTATACTACCACTGAAGAACACTGGATCAGAAATTACTGGCAGCACATTGTTCACTATTAAAGGCCAAAAGCATGCAGCAATTCTCGGCACACAGTAGGCATACAACGTATATCTATATAAAATTAATTCACCTGTTAGTTAATTCCATGGAATAGAAGATCTGAGCTTATTATACATTCTACTTAAGAATCTTTTAAAAATTTTCATAGTACGGAGGCTACATAATCTAATGTATGAGTGATTATGTAAGTTGAATAAAACCTTGATACTGATTTCCTCTAACCCAATCTATCTACCTCCTTGTCCCTAGGAAAAACGTCACTTAACCAGACATATTCTACCAAATGGATAATGCAATGTTTCTCAAAATATTGTTCACAGAAAACAATGCTACAGCATTTCTGTATCACTGGTGATCTTTGTAGATAGGAAAATTTGTTTAGCAACTTCAAATACCAGTATTCCCTATATGGGTGGGGGAAAAAATTACCATTCTTATTTGAACCTCTTTTTTTTGAGACAAGGTCTCACTGTGTAGTCCAGGCTAGCCTTAAATTCACTATGTAGACAAGGATGGCTTTGAACTCAAGGCAATCCTTCTGCCTCAGCCTCCTGAGTGCTAGGATTATATACATGCGCCACCACTCCCGGCCTACCATTCGTTATGAGCTCCAATAGGGACCACGTCTTTTCAAATCAAGATCACAGACCATCATCAATAGTGTAGTTTTAAAATCATGTGTTTACTGGTTCCTAATGTTAACATATTAAACAAAAACACAATTTTTGAAACACATTTTTAACACATTCAGTGGAACGCTACTTTAAGTCAGTGTGTACTGCCAGCAAGAACTTACCGCCTGTTACTTCACACATTGGTGTGATTGCAGAGTCATCTAAAGGCACGCCTGTCAACTGTTCTGATTCTACTGACACAGTGCCAGGCAACCGCAGCACTAATGCAAAGAGCCTCTGATCCCAGCGAAAAGGTTCCTTGGTCAATTCACTTCCAGGCAAAGGAGAATTGAGAGGTAAATGGAGCTAAAAGTAATAGGGGGGGGAAAAAGCAGTAAGCTTTTTATATACTATTGTTTCCAAAAAGCCACTTTAACAACATTTATAACAAAACTTTATGGAATCTATCACTCTAAACAATCTGAAAAATGTTTGTATTCAGATATACCTAATATAATACATGACATTGTTGCTTTAATTTTCTACAACTTTACTCCAAGGCCTGACGTGCAAAAATAAAATCTGTACTACTATACCGTGTTTCAGATTTAGATTCAACTAATCACTATGTAGTGAACTGCTTCCAAATAAATCATTACTAAAACCAATCCTGATAGATAGCTCACATTATTTTATGTCTGTGTGCACATGTATACATTTTTAAATGTATGTCATATATCTAAGAAAGAAAAATGATTTGACATCCTGGCTCCATGTCAGTATTTTCTATTGTATCGTAGTAGCCTCAAACATATCCATAGATCTCAAAAAATTTAAACATATTTCATTTTATACAAGACACATGTCCCTAAAAGCATGTGCATGAAAGCAGACTTTCTCACTACATATTAAAGGTAGTGACTTTTACCATATCTACATAAATAGAAGGATTTGGTAATTTATGTTTTGTTTTTTAACAGGTATTTCTCCCCATTCTTGTGAGACAAGTGAAATCAGAATGTCTTCTCAGAGTCTTAAGAATCTTTTAAAATTTTTAAACTGATTCTAATGGGCATCTATACCAACTAAGAAATAATATGCCAACAGGTTCCAGACAAACCAACCTACCTTCCTTCTTTAACTTCCTTTTTTTGAGGGGGGCAGGTTCCGGTACCAGGAATAGAACTCATGACATTGCGCTTGCCAGGCAGGCGCTGTGCCACTAAGCTAAATTCCCAGCCCCACTTCTTTAACTTCCTTCTAGTCCCTTTTCTGTGAACGGGGATACTGGGGATCAAAGCCAGGGATAGTCTACCACTAAGCTACATCCCCAGACCTTTTTGCATTTTATTGTGAGACATAACTTCATTAATTACCTGACTGGCCTTAAAACTGCGATCCTTCTTCCTGAGTAGCTAGGATTAAGGCATGCACCAATGCACCTGGCTGACACATAATCTTAAGTGTCACTGAAATGGGGCACCGGACAACACACCTCTCATGATGTGATGAAATAAGAAGCTCATAACATTAAAGATACGAAAGAATGGTGGAAGAAAGGGAGCAAAGAAAGAAGGCAAGGAGAAAGAGGGAAAGACAAAGGAAAAAGGAAGGTTGGGCTATACAGCTCAGTGGTAAAGCATTTGCCTAGCATGTGCAAGGCCCTGGGATCAATCCCCAGTAAGACAATCGGTAAAATCTGAATGTTACTCAAACTACTGATAGTATCTTAGTATGTCAGTGGTATGTATGTTACCTGGAAAAAATACTTATTAGTTATAAAAAAACATTTTAATGTTCAGGGTTGGAATACTCAAGTGCTTTTATAAATATTCAAAGTTTTTTAAAAAATATGAACACTTTTAAATTATCACTTCAAATTAAGGACCAGAGTTTACACTAAGTTCTTCATAAAGCAAGAATGACTTATACTGCTTTGCAGCCTTTCTAAATCTCAGATAGATTGAAAATTGGGGGTATAAGTGACTCTACACTGATGTAAAATTCACGTTTCTTCATCAACTTACATCAAACCCTTAAAAAAGTTTTTAATTCTAAGAAGAGTGTTCCTAGTGAAGATGTGCTATGCTGGCACCTCTCTCCTAAACATTCATGCCGAGACAATATGCAAAGAGTCCTCCATCAAGATCAGCCAAGATTTTATGATCATGGACAGGAGTCATGTGCTCTTCCTCTGACAGTGGTCCTACTTAAGGGAGAAGGCAGAGGTGAGACGGAGAAATGCTCAGGAAATCTGGGCTAGGATGTTCTGTAAGGAAGAGTCTCAAACTTCAAATGCATTGTGACACTTGCAAATAACCAGGAACCAACTTCAGGCCTTTGCTGCTATTACTGTATCTTGCCAGAAAAAAAATGAAAAAAGCACCATTTACATCATTTACTTTCCCTCAAACAAGCCAATCACTTCTGACTTTGGAAACATAACTACCAAGTGCTTGGTCATCTTCTCTAAGTCACAGAAATGTCAAAGCATTAAGGGTACTGGCTAAAGGGGCTCTCAAATGTTAATGTAGTTGCTCTGCAGAGTAATGGATACATACAATTTCTTCAAGAATCAAAGGGATAGCAGGCACTGCATATAAACATGTGCACAAGTAATCATGTAGTGAGTATTTGCAATGCAGACAACATTCAATGAAATAATTGGCCTTTGGCTGTACAATACTAAATCTAGAATGTATTTCAAGTAAAAAAAAAAAAAAAAAAAAGCCAAAGGGCCTCATAAAAATATTTCTAAGCACCTTACATATAGCTTTTCAATTATGTAAAACTTTTACCAAATTTTTATTCACTTTTCTATTTCTTTTTTCCCCCTCCCCATTTTATCAGCAACCTCTCAACACCAAAGGTGTGTTAGTGTAGAAGGAATATACTAGTAAAATAGGAAGGAGTAGTGGCAGGCAAATGGGAACAGGAAAAACATAAGAAAATGAAAGAAAAATATTCTTAGAGAGACTGAACTACCCAAAATCTAAAGTTTATAGCTGTAATTTTAGTAGCATTTTTTAAAAAATCACAGAAGGGAGAAGTTTTCATGAATATATAGACTTTTGAGAATCAAAGAAAACTTCAGAAAAATCAAGAAAATTATAAAATTAAACATCAGAAAAATATACAGCAAAAATGTATAGTTCCTCAAAGTGAAAATAACAATACCAAAGAAGAAATTCAAGTAGCCTATAACTAGTTATAAGACAATACAAAAAAATCTCCATGAGAGATAACTTTCTTTTTTTTTTCTCCTTGGTTTTTTCCCAGTACCAGGAATCGAACTCACGACCTTGCACTTGCCAGGCAGGCGCTGAGCTAAATCCCCAGCCCGGAGGTATACTTTCACACCCATAAGATTAGCAAAAAATTTAAAAGTGACAATACCGAGTGATAAGAATACAGAGTAACAAAAGCATTCCAACAGTCCTGATGGCCTGGAAGTATACAACCATTTGGAAGATAAGTGAGTATCATCTGGAAATGGAAAACAATTGAGTATCACTTGGAAGACAAGCATATCCTAAAACAGGAATGCCACCTTCTAGAAAAACTCTGTTTTTACAAAAAGTAATATAAAGGATGTAGATGTCATCAGTGGTAAAGCACATGCTTAACATTCACAAGGCCCTGGATTCAATTGCTAGCATACCTCCCCCCTCAAAAAAGTCTACAGCATTATTTCTGTAGAAAAAGCCTACAAGTCCAATAAAGGAATCAATGTATGAACTGTGGTCTGTTCAAATACCGCTGGTGAAATGAATAAATTTCTTTTAAGATTCAACATGGATGGATCTCAAAATAGTATTTTGGATAATGTAACATATAAATAAAAGAATATAAATTATGAATGTACAGCCTGACAAATTTTTACAAGCTAAACATACTAAATAATCTAATTTATGCACTAAAAAAAAGAAAAAAACGACTTCAGCCCTTTTGGGGTATGTGAATAACATGTATGTAGCAGTAGTAGCTCAGCAGGGTGTCAATTTCCCTGTAGGTGGAAGTTGATCACCCTTCCATACACGTACTACACATGGCCCTATCACTGTGCTCTTTTGTGTTAAGTACCTGTGAGTCTTTTCTATTTTGTTTTTAGTTGCCCACATTTTTCTTATTGGTGTGGAGGTCTTTTCTATTCTGTTTATAGTTGCCCATACTTTTCTTATTGGTTTGGAGGATTCTTAATATATTCTAGGTATCACTTACATGGATATAGGTACTGCAAATGTCTTCCCCCACCCTGTGATCTCCTCCATGATTTTAGTGCTATCTTTTGATAAAGAGAACTTATTTTTTTCCTTTCAAAATCAGTACTTTTTGTGTCTTCAAAGATCACGAAGATGCTCTTATATTTGAAAGCATTAATATTTTACCAGTTATAATTAAATCTAAAACACATCTAGAATTAAATGTGATGTATAGTAAGAGGATGAAGATTACATTTTTTTCTAAATGTACATCTAAATGACCCACTACCATCTATTGAAAAGAATATCATTTTTTTGATGCACTGGAACATCTTTTCTTATTTTGGGTGATTGTATATGGTGACTATTTCTGAGTCAAAAACAACAGTAAACCAGGTGTGGTGGCCATGCCTATAATCTCAGCACTTGGGAGGCTAAGGCAGGAGGATGACAGCAAGTTCAAGGCCAGTCTGGGCTACACAGTGAGTTCAACAATAGCCTAGCCTACATAGCAAGACTCTGTCTCAAAAAAACAAAAAGAACAATAGTAGATGAAAAAGGAAAGATGCAAAATTATATTAATTTAGAAGAGCATTTCTACACAGTTAAACAAAAACAATATTTAGTGTCATTTTCTATATGTATAACATATACATATAGTAAAAGTAAGAAAACATGTACCATACACCAAATTCACAAGTGCTGCTTTTGGGAAGAAGGAGAAAAAGACACTGCATAGAGTAACACATTTAAATGCAATGTTCTGTTCCATGTACTAAAGTTTTAAAAATTCCAAACAACAAAAAAAGAACTCAGGTAAGCAAATAGGGATCAATTCAGTAGGAGGTAGGTTAGATATAATTACTAGCCACAAATCTTAGAAATTTGGAGGAATCCTAAGAATTCTACTACTTGAAAGTTATACATGCTTTTACTCACTACTATTTATGTACGTACAAAATACTAGGCATGTTTAGGTTTGGGGATTTTAAAATGCACAACCAAATAATAAAATATGTTCCCAATACTGAAAGAGAGTAAAGGGAGGAACGATGGTCCTAAAGGAGTCTGTTTCATAGATGTGTGTAAAAGTTAACCCCAAAAAACCCCAAAGAATAAAATAAATAAATGAAAGAATGAATGACTGTACAGTACTAGTTATCA